TGTGTCTCACCTCTAAGTAACAGAGTGACCTCAAGTGGCCTCTCTGGGCCTCAGGCCCTTTGATGCCAAAATGAGGTTGTAATTAGACCGCACTTGCAAGATTGTGCTCAGATCAGATGAGATTAAGTGCAACAGTAAAACTAATAGAATAGAGTAGTGCACAGATACTAGTTGCTAAAACATGGGTGCTGGCCACTAAGAGAGGATTAAAAACAAGACACATTATCAACCCTCAAAATCATTACAGTATAGCAAGAAACCCAAGATATACCCACTTCATGTAATTTAAGACATCAACTAGCACACGAAACAGGAGGCTCTGAGATTCAGAGAAAAAAAAAAAGATGAATTCCATAGGGAATTCATTGGGTGGTGGGATGTAGTTTTCTTGTTGTTGTTTTTGTTTTTAATTGTAGTGATGAGGATCAAACCTAGGTCCCTTTACCTTCTGGGCAATACTCCACCCGTGAGTGATATCCCTAGCCTAAAGAGGTAGCTTTTGATGTGAGCCACTGTGAATTTTGTTGATGCTGGATCTGGGTTTAGAAACTTGTCCAAAACTAATCATTCTTTGAAAAGGCTCTGGAGTGGACCCTTTAGACTCATTCAGGCTGCACAGTATAATGGACTTGGTTGAGATTTAGAAAACCAAGTTTAAACCTGGGCTCTGCCACTTTGGAGCTGAAAGCCTTCTGCACATCAGTTAACTCACAGTAAAGCAGAGCTGCCTAGCAGTCCCACCTCCACAGGGCCATTGTGGGTCACAGACAGCACAGGTAAAGCACATCCAGTGTTGATGCTTGTGCTGATGGAGGATGGGGATTGGGCAGAGGGTGGGGTGCTGACACAGGGAGTGTAGTGGGGGAGCTCCAAGAAGCAGCAGTTGGCATTTCACTAATATCCAGGACCCTCCTGGGGAGGTGACAGAGCTGCTGGAGAAACAGCTCGACAGATGGTTTAAATCCATGTACGCTGTCCTGAAATTCACTCACGAGGCAGGCAAACCCCATGTTGGCGAAGCTCTGCTGTCCTATCCAGCAATCCACATGGATCTCCAAGCCATCTGGAAAGCCCACGTCCGTGGAAGCAACCCTACTTCTCCAGAAAATTAATGATTTTGTTTGCCTTGCCCTTTCAGGATATTTAAAATATCTTGAAAATACCAATAAGTTCTTCTGTAGGCAGCTGTAGGCACCTGCTTGTCATCCCTGTGGTGAAAGACCCTTGTGTTAGGTACTCGTGCCTATCCACTTCTGGCTCCCCTGTCTCCCGTTCCTGTGGTCTCTGGCCCTTCATTCTGTGCCTCTGGGCATCCTCCTTGGCAGTGCCTCTCAAGTCAGCGTGGACACACCTGGATCAAACGCTGGACTTGTCAGTGAAGACACTTCCCAAAGCTGCGGGTTCCTGGGTGTGCGCCACAGGACTATCATAACATCCTCATCATTCCATTTTTAGAGCATTTTATAGTTCCATGAAAGCATTTTGTTATCTAATTTCATTTATCACAAGGACTGTGACAGAGGATAAATATGATTCCCTAAACTCTAAGAGAATAGTGACCGGGCCTAAAATGGCATGACCACTAAATGGCTGAGCTTAAAATCAGGCCACAGGTGTGACAGAAGCTGGCCCTTTCCCTCCTTCTTCTCTCCCAACATTTCACTTTTTATTTTCTGAAGTTCTGAGATTTTGTAGACATGAGAGTGACCAGCATCTAGCTTAGGAAGATTTCACTCAAATAATTGACCTAATAATGCCCACGGGTAAAAATGAAGATAATCTAAATATGTAAATATATTAAGTTGTATAGAAAACATGTAGGAAACACCATATAAGCTAGACCCCTTGTAATATAACATCTAACCCCCCTCAGTCCCATCTTTTACAAAACCATTTGAACCCACAGTTCACAAGGAATGGAACAGTTTTTGAGAGCAGAATGGAAGTATTGTGATAGCAATTTTGCTCCTAGAGGTTTCAAAGGTGGTGGTAGTGGTGGTGGTGGTGGTGTGTGTGTTTGAAGCTCTGTAATCCTTCTATAACACTAAAATAGAGTTGTTTTAGGTGTTATTATTTGAGAGTTTTCAGGTGCTAATAAATAATGGATTCTAGGAAGT